CACCCCAGCACGACCACACCCCAGCACGACCACACCCCAGCACGACCACACCGCCTTGGTTGAGTGGTTGCCTGTCGTCGTGGAATGTTTCGTGGGGTGTCTCGTGGAATGTTTCGCGGGGTGTCTCGTGGAATGTTTCGTGAGGTGTCTCGCGGAATGTTTCGTGAGGTGTCTCGTGGGATGTTTCGTGAGGTGTCTCGTGGGATGTTTCGTGAGGTGTTGCCCCGTTGGGTATCGTGAAAACGTGCCCATGCTCCACATGTCTATATCCCTTTCCGGGTTCGTGGGTCCATCATGTTTTTTTTGTTTGTTGAGGATGTCTCGAGGGAAACGCTGGTTTTGCAAAATTTGGGGATGTCTCGAGCGGGGGCTTCGTGGGGGCCAGAAGTCAAAGGATTTCTCAGGCGAAATGCTTGTTTTCGTGTCCCGCTCGCATGAATTCCAAGGATGTCTCGCGCGTGCCGCGTCCCGCACGCAGGAATTTTGAGGATGTCTCGACTAATTCGTTTGTTTTGCCAGGATGTCCTTGGATTTTGACCGGGTGTCTTGAGCGAAGCGCTTGTTTTTCCCGGAACGGGCGCGGGCCCAGGGTTCTCTTTTAGTAGGTTAACCCCCCGGCCCCCCTGCGACTTGGGCCGGCGAAATTATTCTGCGATAAATTACGTGCGGGAGTAGGGCCGGCGGAATTATTTTTGAGGATGTCTCGAGCGAAACGCTTGTTCCCGGAAAGGGCCTGGGCCCAGGGTTCTCTTTTAGTGGGTAAACCTGTCCCCCGGTGCCAACTTGAAGGAGGCCGGCGAATTTTTTCCCTGATAAATATCGAGGTCGAAGGAGGCCGGCGAATTAAAATTTGAGGATGTCTCGAGCGAAACGCTTGTTTTTGAAATCCCGATCGATAAATCACAGGGTGCGGGCCACTTTTTCGTGTGTTGAGGATGTCTCGAGCGAAACGCTTGCTCCGCAGAGTTTGCCGAGGATGTCTCGAGCGAAACGCTTGTTTTGCAGAGCCGACCGCGACGCGGAAAAGCGCCCCGCGCGAAGGAATTTCGATGATGTCTCGACTAATTCGTTTGTTTTTGTACGATTTCCTGGAATTTTGGCAGGATGTCTCGAGCGAAATGCACGACCCCACCCTAGCACGACCATACCCCAGCACGACCACACCCCAGCACGACCAGACCCCAGCACGACCCCACCCCAGCACGACCCCACCCCAGCACGACCATACCCCAGCACGACCACACCCCAGCACGACCCGACCCCAGCACGACCCTACCCCAGCAAGACCACACCCCAGCACGACCACACCCAAGCAGACCCACCCAGCACGACACCCACGCCCCAGCACGACCACCCCAGCACGACCACGCCCCAGCACGACCACGCCCTAGCACGACCACACCCCAGCACGACCACTCCCCAGCACGACCACACCCCAGCACGACCACGCCCCAGCACGACCACGCCCCAGCAGACCACCCCCCAGCACGACACGACCCCCCCCAGCACGACCACCCCCCAGCACGACCACCCCCCAGCACGACCACACCCCAGCACGACCACTCCCCAGCACGACCACACCGCCTTGGTTGAGTGGTTGCCTGTCGTCGTGGAATGTTTCGTGGGGTGTCTCGTGGAATGTTTCGCGGGGTGTCTCGTGAAATGTTTCGTGAGGTGTCTCGTGGAATGTTTCGTGAGGTGTCTCGTGGGCTGTTTCGTGAGGTGTCTCGTGGGATGTTTCGTGAGGTGTTGCCCAGTTGGGTATCATGAAAACGTGTCCATGCTCCACATGTCTATATCCCTTTCCGGGTTCGTGGGTCCATCATGTTTTTCAGAATTTGTTGAGGATGTCTCGAGCGAAACGCTGGTTTTGCAGAGTTGGGGATGTCTCGAGCGAAACGCTTGTTTTCAGAATTTGTTGAGGATGTCTCGAGCGAAACGCTGGTTTTGCAGAGCCGACCGCGACACGGAAAAGCGCCCCTCGCGCAGGAATTCTGAAGATGTCTCGCGCGTGCCGCGTTCCGCGCGCAGGAATTTAGATTTCTTGGGATTTTGACAGGATGTCTCGAGCGAAACGCTTGTTCTTCATAATTAGTTGAGGATGTCTCGAGCGAAACGCTGGTTTTGCAGAGTTGGGGTATCTAACATGGCGTCGGGCCCAACGCCGAATTATGAGGAAAAGTTATGGCTTCTTGCTCTGAACAGGGGGGTGCGCTTTGGGGGCCTCTCCAGGGAAGACGTTGTGAGGATGTCTCGAGCGGGAGCGCGAATTCAGCGTATCCAAGTCACGCAGAGGGCTATCTAACATGGCTGTCCCAAGCTGGAACCACGTGTTTTTTCATTCTCAGGCCACCCAGGGAGATCTCTAACATGATTGTCCCGAGCTGGAACCACGTGTTTTACGTGTCCAGGCCACCCAGGGGGTATCTCTCATGGTTGTCCCGAGCTGGCACCGTGTTTCCGGGAAAGGGCGCGGGCCCAGGGTTCTCTTTTAGTAGGTTAACCCCCCAGCCCCCCTGCGACTTGGGCCGGCGAAATTATTCTGCAATAAATTACGTGCGGGAGGTGGGCCGGCGAATTAAAATTTGAGGATGTCCCTAGCGAAACGCTTGTTTTTCAGAATTTGTTGAGGATGTCTCGAGCGAAACGCTGGTTTTGCAGAGTTGGGGATGTCTCGAGCGAAACGCTTGTTTTCAGAATTTGTTGAGGATGTCTCGAGCGAAACGCTGGTTTTGCAGAGCCGACCGCGACGCGGAAAAGCGCCCCGCGCGCAGGAATTCCGATGATGTTTCGCGCGTGCCGCGTCCCGCGCGCAGGAATTTCGAGGATGTCTCGACTAATTCGTTTGTTTTGCTAGGATTTCCTTGAATTTTGGCAGGATGTCTCGAGCGAAATACTTCTCTTTCATAATTTGTTGAAGACGTTTCGAGCGAACCGCTGGTTTTGCAAAATTGGGGGATGTCTCGAGCGGGGGCCTCGTGGGGGTCCAGAATTCAGAGGATGTCTCAGGCGAAATGCTTGTTTACACGTCCCGCTCGCAAGAATTTCGAGGATGGCTCGCGCGTCCGCGCCCCGCGCGCAGGATTCTGAGGATGTTGCCAGGGGGAGGGGGTAGGGGGAGGGGTAAACCCCTCCCCGAAGGGGAAGAAGGGGGTTGAGAACAGAGCGGGCTCTCTAAACCACTCACGCCCAAAGGGCTGCTGGGATTAGCTCTGGGGCAGCTACTATGTGTTCAGGCAGCTCGAGCTTAATATTCAGATCAGGACTCGGATGCAGAGGAGGACTCGATCCACGAGGCTATAGAGCACAATCGCGGCATGGCACATCGCAAGTCAGCACGGCGCAGCACAGCACAGACTTCGGCACAGTACATCAAGATCGATACACTCAGCATTGCAACTTGGCACGTTCCTTGGCACGTTCCGTGGGGCGTCCCTTGGCGAGTCCCCCTGGCACGTCGCGTGGCGCGTCCCCTGGCACGTCCCGCGGCACGTCCATTGGCACGTTCCGTAGCGCGTCTCCTTGGCACGTCCCGCGGTGCGTGCCCATGGCACGTCCCCTGGCACGTCGCTTGGCGTGTCCTTTGGGACGTTCCGCGGCGCGTCCTCCTGGCATGTCCCCCTGTCGATTAGTTCTGGGGCAGCTACTATGTGTTCAGGCAGCTCGAGCTTAAGATCCAGATCAGTTCGGTCAGGACTCGGATGCAAAGAGGACTCGATCCACAACGCTATCTAGAGCACAATCGCGGCATGGCACATCGCAGTTCAGCACGGCGCAGCACAGCACAGATTTCGGCATGGTACATCAAGATCGATACATTCAGCATTGCAACTTGGCACGTTCCGTGGGGCGTCCCTTGGCGAGTCCCCCTGGCACGTCGCGTGGCGCGTCCCCTGGCACGTCCCGCGGCGCGTCCATTGGCACGTTCCGTAGCGCGTCTCCTTGGCACGTCCCGCGGTGCGTGCCCATGGCACGTCCCCTGGCACGTCGCTTGGCGTGTCCTTTGGGATGTTCCGTGGCGCGTCCTCCTGGCATGTCCCCCTGTCGATTAGTTCTGGGGCAGCTACTATGTGTTCAGGCAGCTCGAGCTTAAGATCCAGATCAGTTCGGTCAGGACTCGGATGCAAAGAGGACTCGATCCACAACGCTATCTAGAGCACAATCGCGGCATGGCACATCGCAGTTCAGCACGGCGCAGCACAGCACAGATTTCGGCACGGTACATCAAGATCGATACACTCAGCATTGCAACTTGGCACGTTTCCTGGGGCGTCCCTTGGCGAGTCCCCCTGGCACGTCGCGTGGCGCGCCCCCTGGCACGTCCCGCGGCACGTCCATTGGCACGTTCCGTAGCGCGTCCGCTTGGCACGTCACGCGGTGCGTGCCCATGGCACGTCACCTGGCACGTCGCTTGGCGCGTCCCTTGGGACGTTCCGCGGCGCGTCCTCCTGGCATGTCCCCTCTGTCGATTGGTTCTGGGGCAGCTACCATCTGCTCAGTCAGCTCGAGCTTAAGATCCAGATCAATGCGGTCAGGACTCGGATGTTAAGGAAGACTCGATCCACGACGCTTTGTAGAGCACAATCGCGGTAGGGAACATCGCAGTTCAGCACGGTGCAGCACAGCACAGCCCCTGGCACAGTACATTAAGATCGATACATTCTGCATTGAATTTGCCCGTCGCCCAATCAAGTGTCTTTGAACAGTTGCCATGCCTTACATTTCTATATTCCTTTCCGGGTTCGTGGGTCGATCATGTTTTACGTGTCCAGGCCACCAACACGACGCTTGTCCCCAGCACGTTCTGGAGCGCGTCCCCTTGGCACGTCTCGCGGTGCGTCCCCGTGGCACGTCCCCTGGCACGTCGCCTGGCGCGTCCCTTGGAACGTTCCGCGGCGCGTCTTCCTGGCATGTTTCCTTGTCAATTAGCTCTGCGGCAGCTACTGCGTGGACTATGTGCTCAGGCAGCTCGAGCTTAAGATCCAGATCAGTTCGGCCAGGACTCGGATGCAACGGAGGACTCGATCCACAACGCGGTAGAGCACAATCGCGGCATGGCACATCGCAGTTCAGCACGGCGCAGCACAGCACAGCCCTCGGCACATTACATCAAGATCGGTACACTCACTCAGCATTGCAACTTGGCACGTTCTTTGGCACGTTCCGTGGCGCGTCCTGTGGCGAGTCCCCCTGGCACGTCGCGCGGCGCGTCCCCTGGCACGTCCCGTGGCACGTCCATAATGCATTGGCACGTTCCGTAGCGCGTCCCCTTGGCACGTCCCGCGGTGCGTCCCCATGGCACGTCCCCTGGCACGTCGCCTGGCGCGTCCCTTGGAACTTTCGGCGGCGCGTCTTCCTAGCATGCCCCCCGTGAATTAGCTCTGGGGCAGCTACTATGTGCTCAGGCAGCTCGAGCTTCAGATCCAGATCAGTTCGGTTAGGACTCGGATGCAAAGGAGGACTCGATCCACAACGCTATAGAGCACAATCGTCACGTGGCACATCGCAGTTCAGCACGGCGCAGCACAGCACAGCCCGCGGCACGGTACATCAAGATCGATACATTCACTCAGCATTGCAACTTGGCACGTTCTTTGGCACGTTCCGTGGCGCGTCCTGTGGCGAGTCCCCCTGGCACGTCGCGCGGCGCGTCCCCTGGCACGTCCCGTGGCACGTCCATTGGCACGTTCCGTAGCGCGTCCCCTTGGCACGTCCCGCGGTGCGTCCCCGTGGCACGTCCCCTGGCACCTCGCTTGGTGCGTCTCTTGGCACGTCCCGTGGCACGTCCATTGGCACATTCCGTAGCGCGTCCCCTTGGCACGTCCCGCGGTGCGTCCCCATGGCACGTCCCCTGGCACGTCGCCTGGCGCGTCCCTTGGGACGTTCTGCGGCGCGTCCTCCTGGCATGTTCCCTTGTCAATCAACTCTGGGGCAGCTACTAGTTATGTGCTTAGGCAGCTCGAGCTTAAGATCCAGATCAGTTCGGTCAGGACTCGGATGCAAAGGAGGACTCAATCCACAGCGCTATAGAGCACACTCGTGGCATGGCACATCGCAATTCAGCACGGCACAGCACAGCACAGCCCTCGGCACGGTACATCAAGGTCGATACACTAAGCATTGCATTTGCCCGTCGCCCAATCAGGTGTTTTTGAAACTTTGCCATGTCTTACATTTCTTTATTCCTTTCCGGGTTCGTGGGTCGATCATCTTTTGGAAAGGGCTTCAGGCCCAGGGTTTTCTTTTAGTGGGTTTACCCGCGGTTTTGACTTGAAGAGGGCCGGTGAAATTATTCAGCGTAAATAACGAGGTAAAGTGCTGATTTTCAGTCGAAAAAGTGCGTTTCGTGTGTGCCCGCTCGAGGAAAGTGCGCCCCCCATCTCGGATCCTCAATAAAAAACGGGGTCCGCAGACCCTTGTTTTCCGTCGTAAAAAAGAGGGTGCGGAGCGTTCTTCGCAGAATCCTCGACAAATAACGGGGTCTGGAGCCCCGACCGCGACGCGGAAAAGCGCCCCGCGGGCAGGAATTCCGAGGATGTCTCGCGCGTGCCGCGTCCCGCGCGCAGGAATTTCGAGGATGTCTCGACTAATTCGTTTGTTTTGTCAGGATTTCTTAAAATTTTGGCAGGACGTCTCGAGCGAAACGCTTTTATTCCATAGTTTGTTGAGGATGTCTCGAGGGAAACGCTGGTTTTGCAAAATTTGGGGATGTCTCGAGCGGGGGCTTCGTGGGGGGCCAGAAGTCAGAGGATGTCTCAGGCGAAATGCTTGTTTTCGTGTCCCGCTCGCAGGAATTCCAAGGATGTCTCGCGCGTGCCGCGTCCCGCGCGCAAGAATTTTGAGGATGTCTCGACTAATTCGTTTGTTTTGTCAGGATGTCCTTGGATTTTGACCGGATGTCTCGAGCGAAACGCTTGTTTTTCATAATTTGTTGAGGATGTCTCGAGCGAAACGCTGGTTTTGCAAACTTGGGGGATGTCTCGAGCGGGGGCCTCGTGGGGGGCCAGAATTCAGAGGATGTCTCAGGCGAAATGTTTGTTTTCACGTCCCGCTCGAAGGAATTCCGGGGAGGTCTGCGCGTGCCACGTCCCGCGCGCAGGAATTTTGAGGATGTCCCGTAGCGCGTCCCCTTGGCACGTCCTACGGTGCGACCCCATGGCACGTCCCTTGGCACGTCGCCTGGCGCGTCCCTTGGGACGTTTCGCGGCGCGTCCTCCTGGCATGTCCCCCTGTCAATTAGCTCTGGGGCAGCTACTATGTGTTCAGGCAGCTCGAGCTTCAGATCCAGATCAGTTCGGTCAGGACTCGGATGCAAAGGAGGACTCGATCCACAACGCTATAGAGCACAATCGCGGCATGGCACATGGCAGTTTAGCACAGCGCAGCACAGCACAGCCCTCGGCACGGTACCTCAAGATCGATACACTCAGCATTGCAATCTGGCACGTTCCGTGGCGCGTCCCGTGGCGAGTCCCCCCGGCACGTCGCGCGGCGCGTCCCCTGGCACGTCCTGTGGCACGTCCATTGGCACGTTCCGTAGCGCGTCCCCTCGGCACGTCCCGCGGTGCGTCTTCGTGGCACGTCCCTTGGCACGTCGCCTGGCGCGTCCCTTGGGACGTTCCACGCCGCGTCCTCCTGGCATGTTCCCCTGTCAATTAGCTCTGGGGCAGCTACTATGTGTTGAGACAGCTCGAGCTTAAGATCCAGATCAGTTCGGTCAGGACTCGGATGCAAAGGAGGACTCGATCCACAACGCTATAGAGCACAATCGCGGCATGGCACATGGCAGTTTAGCACAGCGCAGCGCAGCACAGCCCTCGGCACGGTACCTCAAGACCGATACACTCAGCATTGCGTTTGCCCGTCGCCCAATCAGGTGTCTTCCAAACGTTGCCATGCCTTACATGTCTATATTCCTTTCCGGGTTCGTGGGTCGATCATGTTCGTAATTTGTTGAGGATGTCTCGAGCGAAACGCTGGTTTTGCAAACTTGGGGGATGTCTCGAGCGGGGATGTCTCAGGCGAAATGTTTGTTTTCACGTCCCGCTCGCAGGAATTCCGGGGATGTCTCGCGCGTGCCACGTCCCGCGCGCAGGAATTTTGAGGATGTCCCGTAGCGCGTCCCCTTGGCACGTCCTACGGTGCGACCCGATGGCACGTCCCTTGGCACGTCGCCTGGCGCGTCCCTTGGGACGTTTCGCGGCGCGTCCTCCTGGCATGTCCCCCTGTCAATTAGCTCTGGGGCAGCTACTATGTGTTCAGGCAGCTCGAGCTTCAGATCCAGATCAGTTCGGTCAGGACTCGGATGCAAAGAAAGACTCGATCCACGACGCTATAGAGCACAACGGCGGCATGGCACATCGCAATTCAGCACGGTGCAGCACAGCACAGCCCTCGGCACGGTACATCAAGATCGATACAATCAGCATTGCACTTGCCCGTCACCCAATCAGGTGTTTTTGAAAACGTTGCCATGCGTTACATTTCTATATTCCTTTCCGGGTTCGTGGGTCGATCATGTTTTATTGAATTCCAATTGAATCTAATTAGAATCCAATTAGAAATCCTCTGGATATGGGATCCGCTCTCTTTCCATTGAAATCTTATTAGAACCCAATGAGATTCCAAGAGAAATCCTCTGGATGCGGGATCCTTCCTTTTCCCGGAAAGGGCGCCGGCCCAGGGTTCTCTTTTAGTAGGTTTACCCCCCGGTTTCGACTTGAAGGGGGCCGGCGAAATTATTCTGCGTAAATAACGAGGTAAAGTGCTGATTTTCAGTTGAAAAAGTGCGTTTCGTGCGTGCCCGCTCGAGGAAAGTGCGCCCCCCATCTCGATCCTCGATAAAAAAACGGTGTCCGCAGACCCGTGTTTTCCCTCGTAAAAAAGAGGGTGCGGAGCGTTCTTCGCAGACTCCTCGACAAATAACGGGGTCTGGAGCCCCGACCGCGGAAAAGCGCCCCGCGCGCAGGAATTCTGAGGATGTCTCGCGCGTGCTGCGTCCCGCGCGCAGGAATTTCGAGGATGTCTCGACTAATTCGCTTGTTTTGTCAGGGTTTCTTAGAATTTTGGCAGGGTGTCTCGAGCGAAACGCTTTTATTCCATAGTTTGTTGAGGATGTCTCGAGGGAAACGCTGGTTTTGTAAAATTTGGGGATGTCTCGAGCGGGGGCTTCGTGGGGGGCCAGAATTCAGAGGATGTCTCAGGCGAAATGCTTGTTTTCGTGTCCCGCTCGCAGGAATTCCCAGGATGTCTCGCGCGTGCCGCGTCCCGCGCGCAGGAATTTTGAGGATGTCTTGACTAATTCGTTTGTTTTGCCAGGATGTCCTTGGATTTTGACCGGATGTCTCGAGCGAAACGCTTGTTTTTCATAATTTGTTGAGGATGTCTCGAGCGAAGCGCTGGTTTTGCAAACTTGGGGGATGTCTCGAGCGGGGGCCTCGTTGCGGGCCAGAATTCAGAGGATGTCTCAGGCGAAATGTTTGTTTTCACGTCCCGCTCGCAGGAATTCCGGGGATGTCTCGCGCGTGCCACGTCCCGCGCGCAGGAATTTTGAGGATGTCCCGTAGCGCGTCCCCTTGGCACGTCCTACGGTGCGACCCCATGGCGACGTCCCTTGGCACGTCGCCTGGCGCATCCCTTGGGACGTTTCGCGGCGCGTCCTCCTGGCATGCTCCCCAACGGCCCAATAGAGCCCCAATAGCGCTGCGAGAGCGGCCAGGAACAGGAGGTCGCAGGCAGGAGGGAGGAACGGAGAAGCAGGACATTGGAGGGCAGCGGGACGATGTGCGAGGATGGGTGGAGGAGGGAGGAGGGGGAGGATGGAAGAAGGGTGATGAAGGAAAGGGGAGTTCAAGAAGGCGATAGATGGGCCAGGATGGGGGTCGGACGAAGCTATGCGCTTGAGAAGATTCACGAGGCGACCTACGTCTTCGGTGGCGGATACTTTATTGCTTCTGGTGGGAATGCAGAAACTTCATGTGCTGCCGTGGGCTTGCAGGTCATTGCCTCCTTCGAGGAGTGCCAGTCTGCGGCAGAATACGTTGGCATCGCAAATATCGAAATGGTTGGGCCAGGGATCTGGTCATGGGTACCTTATGGTTGCACGGTGCAACAAGACAGCGCAACGCCAGTGTCAGGCGCCGCTGGGATGCTTGGAAGGGTTCACTTCAGTACCACATCCGGGAACAACAATGGTGGCAATGGGGGTTATGTTTTGATATGCAGGCAGCCGGCAGCTCCGACTGCAGCACCGTCTGCCTCCCCGACGGCGTCACCGACGGCCTCGCCGACGGCCTCACCCACACCAGCACCGACTGCAGCACCAACGGCAGCGCCCACGGCGACCCCGACAGCGGCACCAACTGCAGCTCCCACGGCAGCTCCGACTGCAGTTGTTTTTGTTTTGTTTTGTGTGTGTGTGTGTGTGTGTCGGTGTGTGTGTGTGTGTTGGTGTGTGTGTGTGTGTGCCCGTGCTCGTCCGGAGTAGGGGGGGGTGTGGCCCGACCCGTCCGCCCGCCCGACCGCGCACCCAACGCTTACTCAACAGTCTCTGTTTCCAGCAAAGCACACAGTACTCAGCAGGCTCCGTCTCCAGCAAAGCACGCAGAACTCGACAGGCTCCGCTGCCATGGAAGTCTCTTCGGAGTTGCATTGAAAACTCGACCCGCCCGCCCGCCCGCCCGCCCGACCGGCCGACCCGCCCGCCCGACCCGTCCGCCCGCCCGACCGCACACCCAGTACTCAACAGGCTCCGTCTCCAGCAAAGCACACAGTACTCAACAGGCTCTGTCTCCAGCAAAGCGCGCCCAGTACTCAGCAGCTCTTCATCTCCAGCAAAGCACTCCGCACTCGACAGGTTCCGCTGCCAGAGAAGTCCCTTCGGACTTGTATTAATAACCCGCTCGCCCGACCAGCCGACCCGCCCGCCCGACGCGTCCGCCCGCCCGACCACACACCCAGTATTCAACAGGCTCCGTCTCCAGCAAAGCACACAGTACTCAACAGGTTCCGTCTCCAGCGGAGCATTCAGGCTCCGCTGCCAGAAAAGTCTCTTCGGAGTTGCGTTAAAAACCCGACCCGCCCGCCCGACCAGCCGACCCGCTCGCCCGACCTGTCCGCCCGCCCGCGCGCACACCCAGTACTCAACAGGCTCCGTCTCCAGCAAACAAAGCACACAGTACTCAACAGGCCCCTGTCTCCAGCACAGCAACAAGTACTCAGCAGCTCTCCGTCTCCAGCGAGCACTCAGTACTTGACAGGCTCCGCTGCCAGAGAAGTCCTTTCGGAGCTGTATTAAACACCCGGCCCGTCCGCCCGGCCGACCCGCCCGCCCGCCCGACCAGTCCGCCCGCCCGATCGCACACCCAGTACTCAACAGGCTCCGTCTCCAGCAAAGCATCCGGTACTCAGCAGCTTTCCGTCTCCAGCAAAGCGCTCAGTACTCGACAGGCTCCGCTGCCAGAGAAGTCTTTTCGCAGTTGTATTAAAACCCGACGCTGTGCGTCGGGTTAAATGAAATTATCCAGGCGAAGGACCCAACCATGTGCAGTTGTGAATACCGCTTTATGGGAGCCGCTTTCGGTGGAGCTCCCTATGGGGCCACGATCCTCGTGAGGGGTGCGCCGAAAAGGGGCGGGGCCGCCATGCGAACGCAGCCACTGGCGCCCTCGGTGGAGCTCCCTATGAGGCCACGAACCGTGTGAGGGGTGTGCCGAAATTGGTGCGGGGCCGTCATGCGAACGCAGCCACTGGGGCCCTCGGTGGAGCTCCCTATGGGGCCACGAACCGTGTGAGGGGTGTGCCGAAATGGTGGCGGGGCCGCCATGCGAACGCAGCCACTGGGGCCCTCGGTGGAGCTCCCTATGGGGCCACGAAACGTGTGAGGGGTGTGCCGAAATTGGTGCGGGGCCGCCATGCGAACGCAGCCACTGGCGCCTTCGGTGGGCTCCCTATGGGGGCACGAAACGTGTGAGGGGCGTGCCGAAATGGGTGCGGGGCCGCCATGCGAACCCTGCCGCTGGGGCCTTCGGTGGAGCTCCCTATGGAGCCACGAGCCGTGTAAGGGGTGTGCCGAAATGGGTGCGGGGCCGCCATGCGAACCCTGCCGCTGGGGCCTTCGGTGGAGCTCCCTATGGGGCCACGAACCGTGTGAGGGGTGTGCCGAAATGGGGGCAGGGCCGCCATGCGAACCCTGCTGCTGGGGCCTTCGGTGGAGCTCCCTATGGGGCCACGAAACGTGTGAGGGGTGTGCCGAAATGGGTGCGGTGCCTCCATGCGAACGCAGCCACTGGGGCCCTCGGTGGAGCTCCCTATGGGGCCACGAAGCGTGTGAGGGGTGTGCCGAAATGGGTGCGGTGCCTCCATGCGAACGCAGCCACAGGGGCCCTCGAAGCTTCCTATGGGGCCACGAAGCGTGTGAGGGGTGTGCCGAAATGGGTGTGCGGGGCGCATGCGGACGGTGGCACTGGGGCCTTCGGTGGAGCTCCCTATGGGGCCACGAAACGTGTGAGGGGTGATGGTGACGACGACGATGATGGTGATGATGACGATGACGGTGATGATAGCGGCCATGATGTTGATGCTGATGACGATAATGATGGTGATGATGATGATGATGCTGATGATGATGATATGATGATGATGATGATGATGATGATGATGATGATGATGATGATGATGATGATGCTGATGATGATGATGATGATGATGATGATGATGATGATGCTGATGATGATGGTGGTGGTGGTGGTGGTGGTGATGATGATGATGATGATGATGATGATGATGAGAGAGGGGAGGGGGCAGCGGGAGGAGGAGGAGGTGAACGCGGGGCGCTGTCTCTTCAACACGAGGCTCCAACGTCACAGGATGGTTGGGAATTAAAGCGATGTTGTGCGTCGCTGCACTTTGATTTAATTAAAGTCGAACGAATAACGACGCGCGCAGTTTCTTCTATGGAAAGCGGCGCGCCGTCCACAGGCGAAACCTGGATGTGCGCCAAGCTGGTCTTGTAGGTTCGTCTTACTCTCCTTGTAGGTTCGCCAAACGCTGCTTGTCGATTCGCCAAACGCTTCTTGTGGGTTCGCCAAACGCTTCTTGTAGGTTCGCCAATCTTCTTGTAGGTTCGCCAAACGCGTCTTGTAGGTTTGCCAAACTCGTCTTGTAGGTTCGCCTAGGGGCCTCGCGATGGCCTCGAGGGGCGTCTAAGATTGTCCCCAGATTGTCCCCGGTCGCTGCAAGAGACCTCCAAGAGGCCCCGCGGATCGTCCCAAATCGTATAGTGATGTGTAATAACAGGTGGAGAAATATCAGGAGCTGGAGGAGGAAGAGGAGCAGCAGCAGCACAAGGAGGAGAAGGGGAGAAGGGCTGGGAGGGAACAGGAGGAGCAGGAGGAGGGTATATACTCTCGTGTTCGCTCTCGCTCCCGCTCGTCGGGGGCACTCTTGAGCCATCTGAGGTCCTTTTTCACCTTCCTGGGTGAATCTTGGGCCGTCTCAGACACATCTGAGCGGCCGTCTTGGGTTCTCTTGGGGCCACCTTGGCCGTCTTGGAGGCATCTTGGAGGCCAGCTTGGGCAATTTTGATTGTCCGAACTTTCCGGTTGGCTGCCGGGTTCTGCTGGAGGCCACCGGGAAGATGTCGAAGGTGAAAACATTTAAATTCTCGGCGCGCCAAGCGCCCCTGTGACAGGCACAGGGGGCGGAGACGTCCCCCTCGGGCCCTCGGGCAAACCTTGAAGGAGCCGAGCAGGTGTTCGGGGGCGCCCCGCGGGGCGCCGACAAAGCTGTACCACGATGGGGCGTTGTCGCCCCCGGCGCAGGAAAATTGTGCCCCGCCCCTCCCCCCCACCGCGTGGCAGGTTCAGAAGAGAGGCCAGAATGTTCCAGCCGCTTGGGAGCCAGAGCAAGTGCCCCCATAATATGTGGCTTGTTTGTGGCTGTCGGGGCCTTCTGGTGGTTTCGTGGAGGCCTCTTTGGCCACGGTTGGTCTCAACGCTGCATCGAGGCAGTCTTGACGCTGTCTCGAGACGCTCTTCCGCTATTGCTGGGTGCATTCGCGCCCTGGTGATGCTCCCGGAGGAAGACGAAGAGGAGGGTGAGGGACGGGGGCGGATAAAGAAGAGGAGGAGGAGGAGGAGGAGGAGGAGGAGGAGGAGGAGGAGGAGGAGGAGGAGGAGGAGGAGGAGGAGGAGGGAGGAGGAGGAGGAGGAGGAGGAGGAGGAGGAGGCGATTGAAAGCTGGTCAGCCCATCGAGGCAGCACCATCTCCACCGAGCGGGGCGGGCGCCGGAGCGTCGGCCGTGGGCGACCCCCACCTGCAGAACATCCACGGCGAGCGGTTCGACTTGATGAGGGCGGGCAAGCACGTTCTGATAAACATCCCTCGTGGAACAGGTGCTGACAGCGCCCTGCTTCGCGTGCAGGCCGATGCGCGTCAGTTGGGTGGACAGTGCGCGGACATGTACTTCCAGCAGATCAACGTCACCGGGTCTTGGGCGGAGGCCAGAAAAGCTGGGGGGCTCCACTACAGCGTGTCGCAGCAGGACGTCAAGACTCCGGGTTGGCTTGGGTTTGGCAATGTCGAGCTGAAAGTCGTTCATGGACGCACGCTTGGCGGCTTACTTTATTTGAACTTCTACGTGAAGCATCTGAGCCGAGCGGGATTCGCAGTCGGGGGCCTACTGGGCGAGGATGACCACCAGGAGGTGAGCATTCCAGCGACGTCCTGTGCTCATCGCATGGCCCTCGTTGCGGGAGGCGACTCTAGCGATTGAGCGCCCATACGCACCGCGGGCGAGCCCCAGAAGTGGCCGTTGCGATCGACGAGCTCGTCGACTGGGCAGGCCATTCTGGGATCCTCATTTTTTCCTCTCGTCTGTGCCAAGCGCTTAGTTTGTAGCATCAGTTGCCGCGTCAAGCATGGCTCCTCCAGCCTTCCTTCTGCTCGCACCGCTCTCTCTCTCTCTCTCTCTCCCCGTTCTTCCCTTCTCTCCCCATATCCGTTCCTTCTCCCTTTGGGGCCGCGCGCGGTCGGGCAGAGCGATCTGCCCGCCGTGCGCGTGAGCTGCTTGCGTAAGCAGTCTCGGAGCCCTCGTTTCTGCCCTGCGCGCGGCAGCCGCCGATTCGTGCTGCTCGCCCTGATCTGAAAAGGAAGGGGTCGGGGATCGCGAACAGGTTGAACGCCCACTGCCAGGAAATCTGATGTATCGCTTCCCTCTCTGGTCTTCTTGCCCCAGAGCCACGCGCTCAGCTCTATGGAGCCTGGTGTTCGCCCTGCTCTATCCACCCTGCTTGCGGCAACCCCCGCCACCGTGCCTGTGCAACAGCGCTGCAGGAAGGAGGCTGAGTGCAGGAACAGCGCAATTCCAACGCGTAGTCTGCATCGGGACGGGTCGCGATCCCGACCTCTTCTTCGTCCGCGCGGTAGGAGGGAGAGGGATAACATGAGGATGAGGAGGAGAAGGCTTCTTGGGCCCTCCTGGGGGGCCTCCTGGGAGCCTCCTGGGAGGTTCCTGAACGCCTCTTGGGGGCCTCATGGGGCCTCTTGGGCCTCCTTAGGGGACTCTTGGCCCGTCTGACGCCTATGGAGGCCGCCTTGGGGGCCTCTCTAGGCTGTGTTGGTGCCCTCTAGGAGCGGTTCACCGCCGTCTTGGGGCCCCCTTGGGAGCCCCTGTGGCGATCTTTGGACCGTTTTCGTTCGACTTGAGGCCCTCTTTGGAACCTCTTGGGCTTTGGGCGGTCAGACGCCAGAACAGGCGAGAACCTCAACACCTGTCAAACACCTGAGGAACATCGATGGTTTTGGCCCCCTCGAGCTCTCCGAGAAGGCCTCTTGGGGCCCTCTTAAGTCGTCTTGGGGTCCTCTTGGGCCGTCTTGAGGCCATCTTGGTCTATCTTGAGCCGTCTTGAGGCTGTCTCGAGAGGCTCTTGATCTGTCTTGGGCCATCTTGAGCCGTTTTGTTGTCGTCTTGGCTGTCTTGGAAGCTATCGTAGAGGCCATCTTGGCCGTCAGGGGGCCGAAAAGACAGCCAGAAAGCAGTTCCAGAGGGGCGCTCTTAACGACGCGCGGACGCCGCCGGGGGGGGGGCAAGACAACTTCACAAAAACTCCCGGGCAACAGACGAGCATTTTCTAACACGCCCACTCTGTGCGGGCGCGGTGGCGGATACTGAAAGCTCCGCGCGCCCCCACCCGTCAGCCCATCCAGCGATCAGTGCCGCGCCCCGCTGGGGGATAACGGAAAGAGCGAGGTACGAGTGATGACGTTCTGGTGGGGCGAAGCCCTATAATTAGGGAGGGGTCCAGGGGAGGGTAGGGCGAACAACTGGGCGTTAACACGCCCCTCCCCTCCCAAGACGGCCCCAGAAGCGCCCAAGACGGCCCGAGAAGCGGCCAAGACGGCCCAAGACAACCCCAAGACGGCCCACGAGAGGTCCAAGAGGGCTCCGAGACGGCCCAAGACCGCTGCAAGAGAGCCAGAGACCGCCCGACAGCGTTCGAAGATGGCTTAAGATGGCGTCAAGACGGTCCCAGAGGGCCCCAAGACGGCCCAAGAGGCCCTGAAGAGTACCCCGAGAGGGCCTCGGGAGGGAGTTGTTGAACATGTTTACGTCCTTCATTTTTGGGGGCCAAGAACGGCCCAAGACGACCCAAGATGCTTCAAATATCGTCCCAAGACGGCTCAAGAAGCCCCCAAGAAGGCCCCAAGACGGCCCAAGAGGGCCCCAAGACGGCCTAAGAGGGCCCCAGGACGGCCCAAGAGGGCTTCTAGAGGCTCCCAAGAGAGACCCAAGAGGGCCCCGAGAGGCTCCCAAAGGGGCCCCAAGAGGCCTCCAAGAGAGCCCCAAGACGGCCAAGGGGCACCCCAGTCCCCGCACCCATGGCGCAAAGACCTCCAAGACGCCCCATGACGGCCCAAGCGGGCGCCGAGAGAGCCCAAGAGGGCCCCATGACAGTCCAAAAGAGCTCCAACAGGGCCCCAGAAGGATCCCCAAGAAAGCCCAGAGACACCACATAAAAGAGCGATCGGTCACGTAAAAGCTGTTCACACCAAAGCTCCCAACGGCGAACGTTGACGTGACAAGCTCTGCACACCAAGGCTCCAAAGAGCGAAGGGTGACGAAAACAACTCTCGACACCAAGGCCCCCAAGAGCGAGCGGCAACGCAAACATCTCTATACACAGTGGCTCCCAAGAGCGAGCGCTTAGACGTAAACAAGCTGATAAGACCGAGTCTCCCAAGAGCGAACGGTGACATAACACGCTCTTAACACCAAGGCTCCCAGGGGCGAGCGGCAACGTAACAATCTCTGAACACCAAGGCTCCAGCGAGAGGTCTGGGAGCCCGCCCGATCTTCACGAGCACGCGCCCCTTCTGCTCATTTTGGCCCAAGCGCCCCTTCTGCAAGGACCAGAAAAGGTACGTGTTCAACGCAAACAACTTTTCACGATCGCCCCCGTGGTGAGCCATGCCCATCAAGACCATGACGGCAGCCTTGACGCTCGCGATGACCGTGGCGACCAGCGCGGGCGTTGACACGTGTCGCGCACATGATGGTGTGACGATGATGCAGCTGAGTGCGGTCAGCGAAGCGAGCGAGAAGCTGGTCGCGCCGGTCTCTGTATCGCATGCGCCACCGCTTACGACACGGAATCGCGACATGGCGAAGCTGCGTAAAGAGTTGCCTGATTGCCCCAGCCCACATCCGGAGCGAGGCTATCTGATTGCAAGGATCAAGAAGAATGACCCGACAGGCTACTATTGTTCAAAGTGGACTGGTGCATTCACGGCGACGTCTGCAAGCGCAACATGCAAGGCGGATGACGCTGTGATTAACGATATGATTGCTCTTGCTGGTCATGAAAACGTGGTTTTCAAAGTGGTGATGGACGACGAAGCCACTTTGCCCCGCCACTACAAGTTTACTTCAGCATCTCAGCAATATTCTTCCGAAAACATTCCAATGGATGACGTGTGCGTGTCGGAATACTCGCCGACTGGACCATGGACATGCGGAAAATCCTCAATCACGGACAACAGCCCTGTGTTTTGTGGCTTGACCACTGCAAGGTATCCTGGACCGTATTGTCAAAACAGCGACCCCCAAGTACAGGCATTGCACCCTGGTTATACAGGTACCGATGACGGTTACAAGGGCTATGGTCATGCTTGGAGATTCTCTGATCGGTGCAACAACAAGCATGGTTCTGCCAGTATGTATGAAGCGTACATGATGCTGAAGTGCGCTGCCAGTGAGGACTGTTACGATGGCAGCACGTGTGTGGGCGGGTTTTGCATTGCTGCTGCGCCGACACCAGCGTCAACTCCAGCACCGACGGCACCAACGCCGTCTCCGACGCCAGCCCCGACAGCGGCACCAACGGCGTCTCCGACCTCATCTCCGACGACGCCTGCCCCGACAGCGGCCCCGGCGACTCCTGGGCCAACATTTGCGATTGCTGCTCTTCGTCGCGTCTTGGTTTGCCGCGCTTCGGTCCGTCCATTCTCGGTGCGTTTCGCGTCGGCTCGGAGTCGCCCCTCTTGTTCGTCTCGTTACGGAACTGACTCAGATCTTGGGCTCGAGCTGGTCGAGCGCCCCGCGCGGTTGGCGTGCAACCAGCGCGAGCTGTGCGTTCAGGCAACTACAGCTTAAGATCCAGATCAGTTCGGTCAGGATTCTGCTGCCAAGAACGATCTGATCCACAATGCAATAGAGCACGGCACAGTTCAACGCGGCACGGCACGTTTGAATTCATCACAGCACAGCACAGACTCCGGCACAGTGCATCACCATCTTTATTTTGAGCATTGCAATTGCCCGTCGCCCAAGTTTGATTGTTTGAACCAGGGTTCTTGTTCCCGGAAAAGGGAATATGCCCAGGGATCTTTTCGCTCGATGAACAACGATGCAAAATGAGAACTTCCTTTTGGTGCGGATGTCTCGGGCGAAACGCTAGTTTCGCAGACTTTGTTGAGGATGCCAAGCGAAACGCTTTTGTAGACCCCCGGGAACCTGGACGCCCAAGGATGCCCCAGGAGGCTCTGGGAGCGCGGGCGCAGGGTAATTCACGAGGGATCGTGGCCCCTGGGAGCGCGGCCACAGCGTAATTGACGAGGGATCGTGGCCCTGGGAGCGCGGACGCAGCGCAATTTACGAGGGATCGTGGCCCCGGGGGCGTGAATCCCGAGTGACTTGCGAGGGATCTTCGCCCCGGCAGCGCGGACGTACTCCCGCTCCCTCCTCCTCCTCCTGCTCGCTGCCTTTTCCTCCTGCTCGCCCCCTCCTCCCTCCTCCTCGCTCCTCCGTCCTCCAGAGTGCGGCCGAGGCGGGGGGGGATTGAAGCAAAGCTGAATTGATATTTGACGGATGCATCCGTGTGTACGCTCCCAGCGCCCAGCCCGACGGCCAGCACAAATGGAAACGACGCGCCTCGCCGCCCGCGCCCAGCGTGCCATGTGCGCCACGCGCGCCAGGTGCGCCTCGGCGCCAGCTACCTCCTCTCTTGGGCAAGGGGTCGCCCCGAAGAGGCGCCAGCCACTGTTCCCTGATAGCCGTTCGCAAGAGGACTACAATTGAGGTTAAATGTGTCCCTCACCAGAACCTGTAGGGCCGGCGAAATTATTCTGCGATAAATTACGAGCGGGAGTAGGGCCGGCGAATTCAAATTTGAGGATTCAAATTGAGGTTAAATGCGTCCCTCACCAGAACCTCCCCAGGGGGGGCCCTCTGGGAGGCGTCTCGCTGGCCCGGGTGGGATCCGGCAGGGCTCACTATACGGCGTTTTGGCTCGTGCTGACGTGCCAGACTCTCCACAGGGGGGGTTAAAAATGGAGGTTAAATGTGTCCCTCACCAGAACCTCCCCAAGGGGGGGCCCTCTGGCCGGCGTCTCGCTGGCCCGGGCTGATCTGGCAGGGCTCACTATACGGCGCTCTGGCTCGTGCTTACGTGCCAGGCTCTCCACATGGAGGTCCTCTGGGGGGGCGTCTCGCTGGCCCGGGCGGGGTCCGGCAGGGCTCACTACACGGCGTTCTGGCTCGTGCTTTACGCAGTACCAGAAACTCCACCAAGGGAGGCCTTTGGGAGGCGTCTCGCTGGCCCGAGTTGGGCCGACAGGCCTCACTACGGCGTTCCGGCATCGGTTTTGTT